ATGATGGTGCACACCTGTAGTACCAGCTACTTGGGAGGCTAAGGTGGGAGGACTGCCTGAGCCCAGCAGGTAGAGGCTACAGTAAGCTGAGATGAGGCCACTGCACTCCAGCCTAGGTAACAGAATGAGACTTCATACAGAAAAAGAAAGCTCTCTCTCTCTCTCTCTCTCTCTCTCTCTCTGTATTCCTTTACAGTCCTAGAGGTCAGAAGTCTAGAATCTGCTTCACTGGGCAAGTGTCAAAGTATTGACACAGTCGATTTTTTGGAAAGCTCTGAGAAGAGAATCAGTTTACTTGATTTTTTTCAGCTTCTAGTGGCCACCTTTATTCTTTGACTTGTTCCTTCTTCTTTCTCCAAAGCATCTCACTCCAACCTGTGCTTCATTTTATTTTATTTCTAAAGGGTTGGGGTCTGGCTTGTCACCCAGACTGGAGTACAGTGACATAATTATAGCTCACTGCAGCCTCCAACTACTGGGCTCAAGCAATCCTCCTGCCTCAACCTCCCAAGCTGAATGACAGGCTTGTGCCACCACACCTGACTCAATCTCTACTTCTCTTGTTACTTTAACTTCCCTTCTGTCATACAACCTTCCCCTTCCTCCCTCATATAAGGCACCACGGTTTTATATAAGGTACAGATAATCCATTATCTACCACCTCAAGACCTTTAGTAGTCATATCTGCAAAACCTCCTTTGCCATAAAACATGATAGACAAATGTTCTGGGGATAGGACATGGATACATCTGGGGTCATTATTCAGTCTATCACACACTCCTTCCAAAACTGATGACCTGCCGGAAGTTGTTGATTATCATTGGAGGTTTAGACTAAGTTTCTGATTTGGAAAGGCAAGTGTTATCATAATTACAAAAGGTAGTATTATACCTACTGCTTGTTAATTACTCAGTAAATGTGAGCCAATACCTTTACTCCGTCTATCCTCTGTTTCCTTCATTTATTCTGTTTTCACTTACTTTAATTTTCTTTATTTATCTACTTATTTAGGGTTGAAGTCTCACTCCATCGCCCAGGCTGGAGTGTAGGGGTATGCTCACGGCCACTCCACTGACAACCTGCTGGGCTCCAGTAATCTTACCGCCTCAGCCTTCCAAGTAGCTGAAACTACAGGCCTGCACTACCACACCCAGCTAATTTTTTGATTTATTGTAGAGATGAGGTCTTGCCACGTTGCCCAGGCTGTTCTTGATCCTGTGGACTCAGGCAATTCCCTCACCTCAGCCTCCCAAAGTGCTGGGATGACAGGCTTGAGCCACCATGCCTGACCTAAGTTTATTTATTTATTTATGAGACAAGGTCTTGCTCTGTCACCCAGACTGAAGTTCAGTGGTGCAATCTTGCCTCACTGCCATTCCCACCCTCTGGACTCAAGTGATCCAGATCCTCCTTCCTCAACCTCCTGAGTTGCTGCTTTTACCTACTTAAGCTATTAGCATTAGCTTATTCCTTAATATCCATAAAGAATTGGTTTTGGGAGCCCTCCTCTCCCACAAATACCAAAATTCAAGAATGTTCCATTCCCTGATATAAAATGGTATAGTATTAGCATATAATCTATGCATATCCTCCCATATACTTTTTAAATTTTTTTGCTGTTGTGGTCACACTCTCTTGCCCAGGCTGGAGTGTGGTGGCACAATCATGGCTCACCACAGCCTTGACCATCTGGGCTCAGGTGATCCTCCCATCTTAGCCTCCTGAATAGCTGGAACCACAGGTGCATGCCACTATGCCTGGCTACTTTTTTGATTTTTATTTTTTGTAGAGATGAGGTTTTGCTATGTTGCCCAGGCTGGTCTGGAACTCCTGGACTCAAGTGATCCTCCCACCTCAGCCTCTTGAGGAGCTGGGATTACAGGAATGAACCACCAAGCCTGGCAATATTTTTTAAAAAGTTATTTAAACCCACATTTATAAACAATACTTTCACACCAAAAAGTGGTTTCAGACTTCATGAGATAAGTGATTATATAAAGATGGCTTTGTTTACACTTAAAAAGACTGGAATACAATTGGAGAATAATAGTGTGCCCAGGTGTGCAAGATATGTGAAATGAGATAGGTAGACACAGACGATGGGGTATACCTGGCCTCCCAGGTCACAGAAACAGGCATCCTGAATTTTTCCCTTCCAGAGTCTTGGTCTGTAAGGATTTGAAGTGCCCTGGGATCATAGTGACAATAAAATTCCTTGGCTAATGAGGAGATTTGGCAATTGAGCCTCTGGGGAGGAGCCTACAGGAGCCTGTGACCACTCCTCTTATTAGTTCTTCCCTAGCAAAGAAATAGCACACCTGGGCCTCTTCCCACAGATGATCATTTTTGCTGGGGAGTCAGGGGCCTCAATCAGTTTCTCCAGCCCCTCCTCCTTTGTTAAATCAGAGTCTCACTCCGCTGCCCAGGCTGAAGTGCAGTGGCATGATCACGGCTCACTGCAGCCTTGATCTCCTGGGCTCAAGTGATCCGCCCACCTCAACCTCCCAAGCATCTGGGACTACAGACAGGCACCACCATGCCCAGCTAAGTTTTTTATTTTTTACTTTTTGTAGAGATGGGGTCTCACTATGTTGCCTAGGCATCCCTGCCCTTCTTAAGTACAGCTCTTTTGTATAATATATTCAGAGATGCCAAGTAATCCTCTACTGTGATGCCAACCAGGTACTTAAACATCCCTTAGTAAATATTTGGAAATGAGGCAGGTGTTTTACTGCAATTTCATCTGGGAAAAACTGTAAAGAGAGTACATCCTAAGTTATGCTGGGTCTCCTATCATCTTCAGAGGTCACCTTGTACTTTTGCACCAATATTCAAGCAACTTTTTTTATTTTTATTTTTTGAGATGGGGGTCTAACTCTATTGCCCAAGCTGAAGTGTAGTGGCATGATCACGGCTCACCACAGCCTCGAACTCCTGGGCTCAGGCTATCCTTCTACCTCAGCCTCCCAAGCAACTGGGACTACAGACGGGCACCACCATGCCCAGTGAAGTTTTTTAATTTTTCTAGAGACAGTCTCAAGAATCTTTTACCCATTAATCTTGTACTGGCTTCCTACCATGAGCAGGACCATCTCCTGAGTAAAAATGTTAGAAAATATTCCAACAATTACTAGCAATCCTGTGGTTGTGGAAAGCAGGATGTTTGGTAGAGCACCCCTTATCTTCCCATCCCTGGTTCTTGACATAACTTGGTGCTATCTCTGTTTCTTGCTGCTGAGATATGAGTTTGAGTACTGATGCAAAAGTTCAAGGAGATTTCGGAAGAAAATGACAGTGACAATAAAAATATTCCTTGGCTAATGAGAAGCTTTGGCAGTTAGCCTACAGGAATAGAGGGCCTGCATGATCTTGTGACCAGCCCTTGCATCAGTTCTTTCCTAGCAAAGAAATAGGGTGTCTTCCCACATATGATCCATGTAGTTCAGAATTCCAATGGCTCTATCAGTCCCTCTGCCCTGCCTGATTCCACAGCACTGTCAATCAGGATGTCTGCGTCTGTGACCTGAGAGGCCAGGTGTACAGGACAGATCTTCTCTTTGATTCATCCAGAGATGTCAAGCATCATTCCTCTGTAATGCAGCCAGGTAAACTAAAGTCCCTACAGGTGATTTTATGTTAATGTTTAAAAATGCAGACAGGTGTTTTACTACAAGTTCATTCAGAGCAAGCTGTGAAGATAGTACAACATCAGGTGATTAGACTCAAGTGACTTATGGACCTCATGTCTTTCTGTCTGTCATCATCACATCTTTTTTGTAGCTTTGCATCAGTACTCAATACCACTCATCTTCTGATGTGGCACTCAGTCTCTTCTATGGCCACAGTCATTTCCTTACTAAGCAGAAATCTGCTTCTTCTAAAGCAGGGTGACTTTTAATACATTCTCTGAGGTTTACTAGCAATCCTGTGGTGGTGGGTGGGGAGCATGATCCTTGATAAACTTCACTTTACCCTCTCATTCCTAGTTCTTGGCACTTATTTGTATTATCTCTGCTCCCTGGCTTAGAGATCTCTAGAAAACCAGACAGAATCTTCCAGCTTCCTCCCTAGTTTATCTACCTCTCTTTAAAATGAAAAAAATAGGTTGGGTTTTGAGGCTAACACTTGTAATTCCAGTTCTTTGGGAGGTCAAAGTGAGAGGATTACCTGATCCCAGGTAATTTTTTGAGATATGTTCTCATTCTGCTGCCCAGGCTGGAGTAATGGCAAGGACTTGTCTCTATAAAAAATAAATAGACTAAAATGACAAAATATTTTATTTGATCAGAATATCATAAACAGTATAATTTTCAAAAAATGACCACTCATTAACTATCTCCAGAATTTTAAAATGTGGATGTTCTGCTATAAGGGTTTTTAAGGTAATAGTATAAAATGCATTCAGAAAGTGCTCCCTTTGTATTATTTTCTTTCTTTTAATTTTATTTTTAAAATGTGGGGTACAGTTCAGGGTTAGGTACATATATGGTCATCGTACAGGTAAAGTGTGGGTACCCTTGTTGATATCATGTGCTCCTCTCCTCCCCAGTAGTGTGTCACTACTGCCAATCCCTTTCTTATAGTATTCTGATAAATGTTCAGGGCCCACTTATGTGTAAGCACTTGTGGTACTCAGATCTTTGTTTCTTTGATAAATCATTGAGTATTATAGACTCTAATTCTATCCAGATTGCTGCAAAGTTCATAATTTTATTTTTCTTTATGGCTGCATGATATTCTATCATGTAAATGTACCTGAAGGAACTCAAATCACTCTATGAAAAAGATACCTGCACATGCATGTTTATTGCAGCATTATGAACAATAGCAAAAGCATGGAAACAACCATGCTGCCCATCAAAAGTGGAATGAATAAAGAAAATATATTCTTTTCAGCTAGTCTCCCTTCCTTCTCAAAATTGTGGCTGCCTCTGGTGATGCATCTCTTGCTGGTCTAGAAAACATATATTTTCTTATGTTTTCACCCTCTCTCTTCCATCAGATGCATGAACTACATGGAATCCAGAAATCAAACAGCTGTTTCAGGATTTCTTCTGATGGAGGTAACAGCAGACCCAGAACTGCAGCCCATTCTCTTCAGCTTGTTCCTGTTCATGTACCTGGTCACCATCTTGGGAAACGTGCTCATTGTTCTGGCCATCAGCTCTGACTCCCACCTCCACACCCCCATGTACTTCTTCCTCTCCAACCTGTCCTTTTCTGACATCTGTTTAAGCAGCACCACAATTCCCAAGATGCTGGTGAATATTCAAGCTCAGAGTCAGAGCATCACTTACACAGGCTGCCTCACTCAGCTGTGCTTTGTCCTGATTTTTGCAAGCTTGCAGAGTTTTCTTCTTGCAGTAATGGCTTGTGACCGCTATGTGGCCATTTGCTACCCATTGAAATACACAGTCATCATGAACCCCCACCTCTGTGGCCTACTAGTTTTACTTTCCCTGTTTATTTGCATTGTTGATGCCCTGGTCCACAGTCTGATGGTACTGCGGCTGTCCTTCTGCACAAACCTGGAAATCACTCTCTTCTTTTGTGAAGTTGTTCAGGTCATCAAGCTCGCCTGTTCTGATAACTTCATCAATAACTTTATGATATATTTTGCTACTTGCATATTTGGTGCCATTCCTGTCTCTGGAATCATTTTTTCTTATGCCCAAATAGCCTCCTCTGTTTTGAAGATGCCATCAACTAGGGGAAAGTATAAAGCTTTTTCCACCTGTGGGTCTCACCTCTCAGTTGTTTCCTTGTTCTATGGGACAGGTTTGGGGGTATACATTAGTTCTGCCATTTCAGACTCTTCAAGGAGGACTGCAGTAGCTTCAGTGATATACACCATGGTTACTCCCATGATGAATCCCTACATCTACAGCCTGAGGAACAGGAACGTGAAGGGAGCTTTGAGAAAACTCATTGTTAGGTAGGATGTGTCATCTGATTTTGACTGGGATAGCTGAATGAGTCAAAATGAAAGGAATACTGCGTAAACCACAATGTTTTAATTTTTTTTGAGACAGGTCTTATTCTGTTGCCCAGACTGGGGTACAGTGGCATGACCCCAACTCTCCACAGCCTTCACTTCCTGGGCTCAAGAGATCCCCCCACCTCAGCCTCCTGAGTATCTAGGACTACAGGCACACGCTACCATGCCTGGTTAATTTTTGTATTTTTTGTAGAGACAAGGTATCACAAGGTTGCCTAGGCTGGTCTTGAACTTGTGGGCACAAGTGATTCTCTTGCCTTGGCCCCCAAAGTGCTAGGATTACAGACATGGGCCACTGTGCCTGGCCATAATGCCTTACTCTTTTTTTTATTACCAAGTTCTTTAAAAATAACTAGATAACATAATGGTAAAGTGAGTTTTGACATGGGGTTGAAACCTAACATGCCTTTTGTATAACTCTGAGATGTTTTTAAAAAATGAGTTATAGGACTGGTCATGGTGTCTCATGTGTGTAATCCCAGCACTTTGAGAGGCTGAGGCAGGAAGATCAATTGAGCGCAAGAGTTTGAGATGGCAGCAAGCTAGAATCATGCCACTACACTCCAGCCTGGGTAACAAAGTGGGATCCTTCTGCTTAAAAAAATCTTTTTTCTCTAAGCTGTTTCTTTGGCAAGGGTCCACAGAAGGTGAACATGGGGCAGGGTTCTTGTTATACTACCATTGTCAAAAATGTAATTGGTAGAAGGGAACTGGGAGAAGTTTGAAAGGTCAGGGAAAGGATCCCTGTAGAACTGTACTCATAGTAGAGACTGGATTCTGCCTGTTCCCACGCATAAGGCCATGTGAATTGCACCCCAGAATTAACCTTATTGTGAGATGTAGAGGTAATGATTTATACCCAATTCAGTAATTCCTGAGAGTGGATGTTGGTAAACTGTATCTGAGCAGGCAACGTTAGCACCCACAAAACTTGGCTTCATCATTTATAAAATTTCTATTACTAGATTACCTTCATGGTTTGAAATATGTGTGAAATATTTTAACTGGATCAATGAGGAAAATTTATTTCTAACAAGAAAAGAAAACTCTGGCTATAATTTACACAAACAAGAAAGAGGCTTATCTCTCATTATAAGGACTTCGTAGGTGGGGAAGGCACAATGTGCAGATTTGTTTAATTCCCTGTATGGTCGCTCCATGCCTATGTTGATTTCCTTCTTGTATTCAGATGTTTGCACAGATGTGGGCATAATACTCAGACATTATGCTCAGAAGTAGAAACTGACCTTTTCTATAGGCCGCTGTTAATAGTCATTTATAATAAATATTGCTATGACATCATCTGTAAGACATCCTCTTTATTCTCATCTCGGAGAATCAGACCATATGTCCACACTTTTACTTATTTATTTGTTTCTTTGTTTATTGTAGAGACAGGGTCTTGCTCCATTGCTCAGGCTTGAGTGCAGTGGTTCTATCATAGCTCACTGCAGCTCGAACTCCTGGGCTCAAGCGATCCTCCTGCCTCAGCCTCCCAAGTAGCTGGGATTACAGACACAAGCCACTATACCAAATTTTTAAAAAATTTATTTTGGAATCAATGTCTCCTCTATGTTGTCCAGGCTGGTCTTGAACTCCTGACCTCAAATGATCTTCCTGCCTTGGCCTCCCAAAGTGCTGGGATAATGGGTGTGAGCCACCACACCCAACCTATGTGCCCACTCTTAACTTAATTTCTGGTGTGAACAAAAATTATTCGTTGGAGAGTCTTAAAATAACCATCTGGGGTGTAATTCCTAAGAAGAAGTCCACTCCCACAAGTACTACAAACAGTTAGCATAATACTTGGTATCTAGAGTAATACTCAATAAGTTATTGGTAGTATCATGTTCAATATTTGCTTATAATCATAAACTTGTAATCCTATTGATTGTCCATATTTTTACCACTTGCTTCAGCAATTAAAGTTGTTTTCTTTTATTGTTATATTTGTCAGCTGCTCTTTCTGGTCTGAGTGATATAATAATTATTAGATAGGCAGGACAAAGGTTGGTAATTTTCTTCTGGCCTCTTATTTGCTTTGAAATTTTTTCACTGATTTATTTGTAAGACTGTATCTAAGTTTTCATTTTTCTCTTTAGTCATCTCATCTTGCTGTGTTTCTTATTAATCTCTTGGAGTTTCACACAGGGAAACATGATTAAAGAAAAACAATAGTATCATTGCAGTCTTAGAGGATGAACTACAGTCTTAGGGCTCTCATGCAAAACTTTTAAAATGTATCTTCATAAGGACCATTATTCTATGGAGAACTACTTTGGTTTAAGAAGTAAATGTTGAGTGGAAGAAAAGCAGAAGAAAGGGAAAACTGGCAGATTTGTGGTATAATATTTACCAGAAGTGCAGAATCACTCAGAATCATCTGTGAGTATAGGATGAAAATAGTGGAGGCATCAAAAGATAACCAAAGTGATGCCTGTGATGTGGGGTGTAGTTGCTCTGTGAGTTCTTGACTTTGCTGCAGAAAAGATTTTCAGAGCAAATCCAGAGGTTTAAGACAAGATTTATTAGATAGGAAAGACACATTCAAGAGAGAACATGGATGGCTTAAGAGAAAGCACACTATCTTGCTGGCAACTGAATGCTTTGTATATTTTTCTTAGTGATGATTAAGCAACCTATTCTTTAAGATAAGATCCATGTGCTACATGGGACACTTGGTAGGTTACAATCTATTGATCACAAATTCTATTCTTTATCATCTACTTCTAAGCTTACTTGCTTGCATTATGTGAAAATTTTAAGATAATGGTAAAGATTATTTTTTTACAGCTTGACTAAACTGCTTAGAGAACAGTATCCTCTTACTGCTTTGTCTATGATCTATAACTAAGTGTACCAGCCACCTCACATTCTGGGGATGGGTCTGGAACTGTTTCATAGAGTTATGTTCCAGGAAGATGGCACCCCAGGTGCCTGACCATCTGGATTTCTATTTATCTTAGCTAATTATCTAAGCTGCCTGCCAGAAACTCATCTATCTGTGTCTAAGCTATGCTGCTACCCTGCCTCAAAAGGAGAGAGTAGAAAGTCTTCTGTTGGTGGCTGTCATTGGAAGTTGAGGAGGTGGTTTTATTTTCACCAAAATATATAGGAAATAATTCCTTGCTTGGAACTCATGGTGTTTTCTAGTGCTGAGAATAGCTGCAAGAAGAATCACCCAAGACCTTCACTCATAGTAAAGGTACTTAACCTTACTCAAGAATCACTGATGTTGAATCTCTGGGAGAAATATGAGGTACAAGAATTTCTAATAAGCACTTTGAGAGATGATGGTCATCTCTGAAGTCTGATATTTATGACTTTGGTATTAGAAGAACATAGGAGAATAAATTTAAGATTAGGAAAGATCTTTCTTCAATTTTACTTGCTCTAGTATCATATACAAAGTAGCACATAAAATCTATCAATACTCCAAAGAGAAGAGTAACATAATAAAATCCCATATACCTATCCAGGGACTAGAACTAGGGTAATGCCATCACCAAAGAGCCCACCTGATAGATTTCCTACTCACAACACCCTGTTCTCTCCAAGTAGCAAATGCATGATCCTGAGTTCTTATAATTTTCTTTGATGTTTACTTAATATGATATTCTTCTTGCCTATGAAATTGTATTCAATCATATTTGTATTACAAAAATGGCAGTATAATTTCATTTCTTTTCTTTGCTTTTTTAGAGACAGGATCTCTGTTACTGAGGGTGGGATGTAGTGGTGTGATCATAGCTCACTGCAGCCTCAACCTCCTGGACTCATGTCTCAAACTCCTGCCTCAGCCTCCTGAGTAGCTAGAACTACAGGTACATGCCACCACACCTGGTTAATTATTATTTCTTTTTGGTAAAGTCAGAGTCTCGCTATGTTGTCCAGACTGGTCTTGAACTACTGGATTCAAGCAATCCTCCTATCTCACCCTCCCAGTGTGCTGGGATTACAGGCTACCACACCTGGCCAAAAATGGCAATAGGATTAAACATAATTATTTAAGGATGCCATATGTGTTCCTGTTAAATTTCTAAATTTGCCTCTTTTCAAACTGGTTAAAAGTTTAATCTTAATGTATAAATTTTATGTCCTGTTCTTTTCCTTGTTGCATTTTTGAGATTCCATAGGATTGTTGGATATGGCAGTAAATAATTTATTTTCAATACTCTATATTTTTACATTCTGTATGGTGACTTTCAAAACAGATAGCCTTACTAATATTGATGGAAATTTTGTATGTTTCTAACTTGCTTTCTGCTATTATAAATAAATATTTTTGACTATTCTTATATGTGTCTGCTCTGGAAATGAGAAGGAGTTTTATACTTGGGTGGAATCATTGGATATGAGGGAATAGCCAGTCTTCTTTGAGTGGCTTCAACAGGTTTTATCTACATGTTTGAACCAATTACAGAAACATTAAAAGTTCCTGGTGACCCATAGCACCACCAACACATGTTTATTTATACTGACAATCTAGTGGCATAAAAATTATTTCATTAATGGTCATATCTCTTATTACTACATGGTTAAGAATCTTTTTCACATATTTATTTTCCTATCTGTTAAATATCTGTGGTATTTCTACTGAACTGCTTATCTTTCCCTTATTAATTATTGGGAATTCTTTTTTTATCAATATTTTTTATTTTGATATTGTGGGGTACAGTTAAGGGTTAGGTATACAAATATGCTTCATTCAGGCCCCCTTGTTGGTAACAAGTGTCTCCCCATCCCCAGAGATGTTTACTACCATTAGTCCCATCCCCCCATAGTTTCCCACCACTGTCAGTAATTTTCTTATGGTAGTGCATTGGATGATCAAGGTCCACTATATGAGTGAGAATATGTGATACTCAGATCTTTGTTTCTGTGAGAGGTCATTCAGTATTATAGACTCTAGCTCCATCCAGGTTGCTGAGAAATTCATGA